GTGAACGCCCCCCCCCCCCCCCAAAGTCAGACACTTCACTCTTGTTTTGCCACACTGTTAGTTTTCTGCACTAAGGGCTCAAATTCCAAAATTTTTTCTATAGCTGTGCTTTGTTTTCTGTGTCTAAGTAAACAGAACCTTTTTTGTATGATCCATAGCTCACTGGAAACCAAATGGATGCACCACCATCAAGTGCTATTATTCAGATTAGGGTATACTATTCTAGCAGGGAATTTGGTGAAAGGTATTGACATTCCAAAATGCTTTGGTATTGCTATTAACATTGGGTGTGGTATATATGGCAAGAGAAGTATATGGTATATATAGAAGAGAACTAGGGAAATCAAAGCAAGCAAATAATGGCCAGGAATTTAAAATCAGGTAAATAATTCTAATGTCTGCTTAGAGAAGATAAAAGCTGTTGAAGGGTTAGTATCCGTCATTGGTCACCTATGGCTAAGGAAAAGAAACACCAGGGTTTTTTGTTCTGAAATAAAGTCAGGGAAAGTGAATAACTTCAGTATAAATTTTCTGTTGTGATCACAGATTAGACTTGTGAATTGAATTGTGAGTTGAATTTCCAACTGGTGATGGGTTTAGAAATACTGACTTGTCTTATTTTATTTTGTAGATGCTTCAGAAACTTGCTGTGTGTTTGCCACGGGTTCTGCCAACCAACTGGAGAGGGGACTTTCCTATTCTTTCATTAGTCAAGCATAACATTATCTTGAACTAATTATTCCTCTCCACATGGCCTTCCTACTAGTGTCAGCTTATCTTCTGCTGACTCATGCTCAGGGTGCTCCTGCTGAGCATGGGGCACTGTTGGAAACACTGAAGTCACAAGTAGGATTATTCAGCAATAAAAGCGAACACTATTCGGCACAGGTGAGACCTCCTGGCACAAGCCGACAAATACCTCAGACAATCATCATAGGAGTTCGTAAAGGAGGGACAAGGGCTTTGCTGGAAATGTTGGATATTCATCCTAATATTGTGGTAGCAGCTACAGAAGTCCATTTCTTTGACTGGGATGAAAATTATGTGAAAGGAATAGACTGGTATAGAAGTCTGATGCCATTTTCTTATGGAAATCAAATTACAATTGAGAAAACACCAGGCTATTTTACATCACCACAGGCTCCAGAAAGAATTCATGACATGAATAGCTCTATTAAACTGCTGCTCATTCTAAGAGATCCCACTGAGAGAGTTATATCTGACTATACCCAAGTATATTACAACAGAGTAGAAAGCCACAAGCCTGTTCAGCTTTTTGAAGATATTGTTATTAAGAATGGAGCACTTAATACCAAATACAAAGCTATTCAGAGAAGTCTATATGATGTTCATATGGAAAAGTGGCTTAAGCATTTCAGTTTGGATCAGATTCACATAGTGGATGGCAATACTTTAATCAAGGACCCTCTTCCTGAATTACAAAAAGTTGAAAGATTTCTAAATCTTCCTTCCCGGATTATGTCTTCTAATTTTTATTTTAACCAAACCAAGGGATTCTACTGCATTAGAAGTGATGGAAGGGAGAGATGTTTACATGAATCCAAAGGCCGCCCCCATCCCCTTGTGAACAACACTGTTTTAGAGCAACTGTATTCTTACTTCAGAGAGCACAATGCAAAATTTTACAGAATGGTTAATCATTCCTTTGACTGGCATTAATGCATTTGGAATCAATGTTTCTTAAAAAGGGCCTGAAACAAAGTCTTTCAAATATATCTTTCTAAACTGTAGAGATTGGTACTATGAGAACTTAACATACTGGTTATATGCTTCATTGGAATAACACATGTGTTAACTCACTGAAATGGTACCCTTTACGTTGGGAAAAATAGGTTTCACGTATTTGTGTGATTACTGTGAGTCATATTCTGATCTTTCTCTCACCATGCAAATACATTATCAGCAGACTTATTTCAGATACTTACCTGTTACAAGATTTGTGCTGTTTTGGAAAAAAATGACTGCTTCTAACAGTGTTAAAAATGTAAATATTTGAAATGGTATTATTCTAACTGTTCTGTATTTTTTGTTGTTAGTATTTTTTATATCACACACAATGATAGTGGTGTTGATTTCTAGAATTTTTCATACAATAAGTTAAACTGTATGTTAAACAGGGGCATACGTAGTGGCTCCAATAAATAATTCATCCTCTGTTAATATGCTGAAGTGCTTAATCAATTAATAATAAAAGGAATCTATTTCATCTATGATTTTGAATAGGTGAACTAGAAGATCCCTGTCTGTATATCATTAGCATTAAACCACACTCTTACTATCCTGGCTTTGCAAAAAAAAAAAAAAAAAAAAAATTATCTCCAAACAAACTAAGAATATTAACTGTTTGAAGAAGCTTTAAGTGAGAGTTCTGAATGTAAAGACATTAAAATACCCCAGGCAACCTCAATTTACACTGTTATTCTACGCACTTAAAAAAAAATTAATGCAAAAAAATTAATATCAGCAACTGTACAACTATTTGATTATATAAATTATGTCACTTTCCTCTTGAATGGAAAAGCTCTTCATTAGTACTACCATATTAATCATGTTTGTATTCTGTGACTAGTTATTCTACTACTCTCCTGGCTTTAGTTTACATATCTCCATTGGCATAGCACATGGATTCCAAAAAAAAAAAAAAAAAAAAAAAAATTATTTGCTTGCCCTCCAAAGCATGGAGTATTTTTATTTTGTCATTTCTAATGCACATCATGGGATGTTCTCAAAGTTAAAATAACATCTTGTTATACTGTATATCTCAGACACAGTGTTCAATATGCTAAATATGACATACTCAGATTATATATAAAAAACACACCCACCTCTACCCCTGCATTAGAAATTGTTTTATTTTTAATATTTATTTTATTTCACACTATTGTGCTGGTCTGTTTTTCTTTTTCATGTAAACATTTTATGATTTACCAATACCAAAGAAGAAAATCAACTTGAAAATGTTAACTGTGGTGCCAGATAGAACTACAGCTGCAGATGTGCTTGTTTGAAATTGTACCTTGCAATCCAGAAACTCTGGTGCACACCCTAGTAGAAGCATTCATTAGGTGCATTCCTCTTCAAGCTTCTCGGGACACTGGTGAGCTATGGTTGTGTGGGCCCACTCTGAGCATCGCAGTGTCAAACTCCACCTAACCCTGGTGAGAATCCTGAATCTGTGTCCTGTCTAAGCTACTGTGCAGCCTATAGGAGTATTATGTTCCTAACATGGGATTCAGTCTTCCACTTCACAGGCTACAAGGTATGTATTGCAGCACTAATTTTTAGGCTTCTAATACTTTATGAGGGGGCTGCTTAGATGTTAGAAAGGTAGCAGTATTAACACTGAAGCTGGACAGAACCAGACCCAGCCAGATTATGTGGAAATAGCCTTCATGAAATACTCCCCTCAATAAATGTAGAATGTTAAAAATAATATAATAAATCTTACTCTTTATCTCTTCTGCTACTTGTATGTATAAGTACGAGAGAAAATTATATTTATTTGTCATTAGCATATAAATAACCTCTGAAGTTATCTTTCTGAAGTATGATTATTTACTACAGCTCTGATTTCTACAGATGGCCCAAATCATTATTTACTTCTCTCACATTTTCTGAGACTGTGTCTTCTTAATCATTAATATTGATCAGATCTGGCCACTACTCAGAAGTACAAGGTTGATCTGAATCAGGTATGGAAATACAAATGCATTTCTTTCAAATTAGCCAAAGAACAGGATGTTTATGCTGGTCTACGCACCATCTTTACAAAGACATTGGATAGGCAAACTGCAATAATGACAGTTGTGTAGCCTAACAATACATTCTTTGTCATTTGTCAAGTAAAAAGTTAACCCAGAAAAATTCTGATCTCTGAATCAGCAGGGTGATTTCATATTGGACCAACACTGTATTTTGTGGGCACTACATTTTTATCTGATAATGGCAGCCCCAAATCCAGATTCCCTATAGTATTTAACATAGCTTGTTCTTTCTGACCAATGCAATCTTAGTGATGAACGAAACTCATTCCAGTCCACTAATTTCAGAAATACGGTATTGAAGGTAGCAACATACCAGCAGCTTACCATAGATTGTAGTTTTTCTTTCAGCATTGCTTTCTGTTTCTTATACAATCCAAAACTTTCCATATTCTTCTTCTTTTGCTTCTTTTCAATGATGATTCTGTTTAATAGTATTGAATAAGATTGTTTTCTTTTCTTTTTTTTCTTTTCTTTTTTTTTTTTTGGCAAGAAACTGATTTGAAAACAACATATACTTCAACAAAGGTTTCAGGTAGTTGCCAGTAATTGAAGAGTTCATATGTCTATTTGTCACATTCAATTTCACAGGCTTCCAAGAAAAAAATGAAATAAAAAAATCTAATGTCTTTCTATATGCTTGCAGGCATCAAGTCTTTCTCTTTCTTCTCTGAAGTTTACAGCTAATCTTTAAATGAGTTGAATGTGGGAACACCAGTTGGCAGAAGCTGTATGCATCTTTGAAAATGCAGGTCCCTTTCTGGAATTTACATTTCAAGGAGAGCTGATCTGTATGGATTAGTGATGCATCTATCTACTTGATTTGTTAGCACTCTTCATTCCTGCTCAGCATTTTTGGGAAGAACAGAGTTGATAAAATTAATTCAATTATCATTTTGGAGTTTACCAATACCAGAAGAAATATATTATGCATAGTATAATTTGGGTGAGGGGTTGGTTGTTTCGGTTTGGTTTTACATAAGTCAAGATTCTCATCTGAAGTTTTGTTTTGGTAAATGGTCTACAAAGATGCAACTTAACCTCTGCGTAACAGAATTCAATAAATACAGTAGACTATATTTTAACATTACAAACCATTTCAATCAGTTTCTCATTTTGTGGTCTGAAAAATATTATCTCATGCAGCCCTAACCTTCTCCATTCAAAAGATAACACTCCTTCCATCATCCTCAGGAGGGGGGTCAGTAGAAGATCCACGTAACACTGAAATAAAAAGTGCTCATTTTTTGGCAGTTGGAATTCAAAACTACTCAAATTTTGGAAGGAACTGGAGGCTGAGAATCAGTTTGAAGATGTATTAACAAGACAGTTCTCAATTTAAGAAATTACAAATATCTTTTATGAATTTCCACAATTGATAGCAAACCATAAACTATTCTTCTCCAAATTGGTCAAAGGACTTTTATCTCATTATCTGATACTCAAGAGGTGTTTGCAGAAAAAAAATTTCACATGGGAAGGGTGTTTAAAGAGATCATGCAGGTGGTTTTTTTTTTTTTCAAAGGTTGCTGGGAGCATCTGAAACAAGCGGTACAGTCACATATGTAAGACTACTGCAGAATTTATGATGCTTTGAGCAGCTCTTTGATGTTGTTTTGCATTCCACAAACATTAAGCTTTCACTTTAAATACTGTTCCTTTCCTTTTTTAGTTAAAATGCCATAGTTATAGTTGCTTTGATCTGATATCACTGGGAATTAGCAGTATCAAGCAACTGCAGCTGTAACTGGATCAGTTTAGCCTTTGCCACAATAAGCAGCACACTCATACTTAATACTTAGATGAGTCTAATATTAGGTTTGGGGTTTTTTATATACAGGCTACATATGTTACCTCTAGTACATAAAGAAAAAGCATTGGGAAACTTAAGAGCTAGGGTTTTGCCCCCAAAAGCTCCTAATAGTTAACTAATAGGAAGAAAACAAGGAGGTTGCTCTATTGCACTCACCCCCATTATTTTACTAGAAGAGGGTTGGGTTTTTGCATTGTATCCTCTGTATCTAGCTCCTCAAAGGCCTTGGGCTGACTTCTGGTCTTTTCTTTCACAGCTCAGCCGTGATAGAGCAACAGTTCCTCTTAAAGAATACCTGTTAAAGTAGAGACATTTTTTAATATCCATAGGCAATATTGTGGAGAACTTTACAGAGGGCATACACTTGGTGCACATCATTGTGTGCTGCTACACGTCAACTTCTTCAGCATCCTTTTGATTCAAAGCCAATAGATAATACTATAAAATGCACTGAAGAAAGATTAGATTGACTACTGCAGGGAAGCGCATCTGCATACAGAGTTTTCAGTCTTCATGCACATTTCAAGAGCACATCAAAAAGAAATTTAAAAACTGGGCTGCTTCCAGCAGGTTTGACTGCTTATTGCCTTTGTCAATTCAGATGCTTTCATGAGTTGGACAAAAATTTTAATACTGTCATAATCCCTATAATTTCTTGTTTAATCTGTGTGGTCAAAACTGAAAATACATGCTATTACTTTGCTTTATAGGAGCACAGTTTAAAAAAAAAAAAAAAAAAAAGACACCACCACCACCACCCCCAATACCTTGATTCATAGTAAGAGCTGCACAATAACAATGCCCACAATAACATTTCCTTGCAGAGACAGGAACATTTAAATTATTTAATTAAAAGATTATACACCTGTAGATCATTATTTTCTATACTTGTGGATTTGATCCCTATTTGATCCCTCATTTCCTTCAAAAGCTTGAATTTTATCATAGAAATGAACGGACACATTAGAATTAAAATCGGTAATAATTTGCCTAGCACATTGATCATTACTAGCAGTTAATGGCCAATATTTAGTTACTGGCCAAATAATTTCCACTTTGATTATTTCAAGTTTCAATGTGACTAAGTTGTTTTGCTATTTTATAAAACAAATTTAAAAGTTAGAACCAACAGTGGATAAAAAAGACTCTGCAGTATCATTCTGTGATTGTAGAGGAATATAGAGGAATTGTCGTGTCTTTAAGGATAATTAACAGTGACATA